GAAACCCGAAACTAGGGTACACAGGAGCCCCCAACAGGGGAACCAGGGCCTCCCTGAGGGCCACAAGCACAGTGGAGTTAGTTGGGGGCTACTATCTAGGATAGCATTGTAGCACCTTGCATAGATGATGGAGGTGATCCTGATATAAAGAGGCACATGGTACTGGAAACAGAGAAAATGAGTACTGGATTTGATGCTGCTGCTGCTCCCTACTACTTGCATAAACTTGAATAATCTCTCTGGGTTTTGGTTTCCTCATCTGTAAAATGAAGGGAATGGAGTGCATGATTTCTAAGCTTTCTTCCTGAGCTAAACGTTATACTCCTGTGATCCACTGGTAAATTCCATTTTCTTTGATCTGTGAGCATTTGAGTTCATTGCTCTCTCTCTCTCTCTGCTGGCTTTGTTCAACTTCTCTACCTTTATCTTTAAGAAATATGTGAACATGAATGCATTGTTGGTGGAGTTGTGAACTGATCCAACCATTCTGGAGAGTAATTTGGAACTGTGCATACCCTTTGATCCAGCAATACCACTTCTAGGTCTGTATCCCAAGCAGATAAAAATGGGAAAAGGACCCACATGTACAAAAATATAGCAGCTCTTTTTGTGGTGGCAAAGAATTGGAAATTGACAGAATGCCCATCAACTGGGGAATGGCCGGACAAGTTGTGGTATATGAATGTAATAGAATACTATTGTTCCATAAGAAATGAGTAGATTTCAGAAAAACCTGGAAATACTTACATGAATGGATGCTGAGTGAAGTGAGCAAAACCAGGGGAACATTGTACAGAGTAAAGCAACACTGTACGATGACCAACTTTGATAAACTTAGCTTTTCTCAGCAATGCAATGATCTAAGACAATTCCAAAAGACTCATGCTAGAAAATGCTATCCACATCCAGATTGAAGCATACTATTTTCTCTCTTTTTTTTCTTTCTTGTGGTTTTTCCCTTTTGTTCTGATTCTTCTTTACAACATGACAATATGGTTGTATGTATATAACCTATATCAGATTGCATGCCATGTTGGGGATGGGGGGTGGGGAAATTTAGAACTCAAAATCTTATAAAAGTGAATGCTGAAAACAAACAAAAAAATAAACAAAAATAATTATGAAAAAGAAATTTGTGATCAGAGGACAGTTAGTTGGGGAAAGATAGGAAGAGAAAAGCTTTCATTTTGCCCTGTCACTTCCCATAAGATGAATTGATTGGTTCTGATTTTAGAGATGAAGGTTTAATATTTAGGAATACCCTGAAGGTTTACAAGGTACATTGCATACCTTATCTCGTGTGAGGGAAGACATGAGGTTCTATATCCATTTTTATAGATAAGGAAACAGTTTTAGAGAAATGAAATGACCTGTCTAAGTAGCAAATTCAATATTTGAATCTAGGTTTCTTCAATTCAGCAGACCATGCTGGGTTGTTGAAGACACACACACACACACACACACACACACACACACACACAAAATCTCTTCCCACAAGGACACCACAGCTGCTCCGGGGTGTTAGAAGGACACGAATGAAGAGAACACTTGAAGGAAGTGAAGACCTTTGTGGGAAAAAGACTGTAGCAGGATGTGACTTTATACATAAGTCACCAATAAATGTGATTACTCTGAGAAAGGAGGAAAACAGGAGTGCAGGACATGGCCTCTCCACCCCACACTGGAACAGCCAATCAATTCATCAGCAAGCATTTTAAAAGCCCTATTATGTGTTGGGCACTGGGGTAGGTGCCGGGGATACAAAGGCACAAATGATGTAGTCCCTGCTCTCAAGGAACTTAGTTTCTACCAGGGCAAGATGTGGGAAAACAACTGTTTCAAGGGTGGTAGTATCCTGATCCAAGATGAGGCCTGCCCTGTATTGGTCCAAAGTGCCAAAACTTGGCACTTTCTTTCCAGGCTTGTTACTCCCAGGGGGAAAGTGATGACAACAGGGATGAAAATCTGAGTGGGTAGAGCAGAATATCCTGTAGAGGTCCCATCAGAGAGCAGGTGTCTTGCCTGAGTCCTTGGATTTGGACTCAGGCACCAATATAAGTGACCAGTCCTGTACAGTAAATCACTACATTCAAGTCCCATTCTCATTCTCTCTGGGATCTGCACCTGAAAAGGAGTCCACCTCTCTATAATATGCCCATCAAATGGTAATCTCTCCTTTGCTGGCGAGGGGGAACCCACTGCCTTCTAAGGAAGTATATTCCATTCAATTGTTAAGTTTTGCCTTATTTTGAACTGAAACCTGCCTCATTTCAACTTCATGCTTTTCTCCTAGTTCTTTCTGTTCTCTCCTGCCAAACAGAGCAAACCTAATTCTCTTCAACATGACAGCCCCATCAAATTTACCATGCATTTAATATAATAATTTAATTGCCTGGGTCCAGTGAGAACTCTTGCCAACAAAATAATTTCAGTAATTATGGGTGACTGCCAGAAAGGGAGGTCCTCTTTCTTTGGAATCAAAAGTGAGGTACGGTGATCCAAAGCAAAGTTGGCCTAAGGAGTTTTCCATTCAGTTGAAGAGGAGGTGGCCCAAATATTCAGGTGACACTATACCAAAGAGTCTAGTAGCAAAGTGCTGAAATTATGGCAGTGACTTGATCTTCATTCAAGGAAAAGGTCTGTACAAACTATACTTGAAAGTATCATTTTGTGCTGGTGAAAAGTATAACCAAACCCACATTTTAGTAGAATTTGTAGAACCTGTGACTATAGGTACCATACTGATACACAGCAGCCTATCCAAACACAGATGTGAATATGATACACACAAGCCTAGGGGTTGGCTAAGAGTCACAGCTGTCTGGATCCAGTCTGTTTGACCCTGAGCAGGACTAGTTGTCTTAATTGATCATGACAGCAAGCTGTGCAGACCTGATCTGAAACAAATTTCCCACTGATAATGACCTAGCTAATATCCAGGGCCTGGAATGTCTTTCATGCAGCAGTTTTCATGAGGTCATGGCCACTTTCCTCTAAGAGTTGTCTACGATCAAAGACAGCCTGGGAAGGACAGACCTGCTCACCAGAGAAGTATGAAGTTTTTAATAGCAACATGGGTGTTGTCAATGTACCCTCAGTATCCCAACTTCCTGCCCAGACAGTTCCTATTAGGGTCATATCCCTGGTAAAGAGGAATGATCTCCCGGGGCACCCCCCCACCCCATGTGAAGGTCAGCAATACAAAGCTGTATCAGTTTTCAGGAGGGGTCCAGCAAAAGAGGTCCACAGATTGGGACCATTCTACTAGCCTAGGTTGGTGTTCTTGTCAAAGTCACTTCATTGATATTTGTGCAAGGCATTGAGGGAAGAGAGATACAAACCAAATCCTGCTCTCAAGATGCGTACAATCATGTGGGGAGGGGAGGGAGGGAAGATATAGAGAAGCAATGTGTACAAGAACACTCAGGCAAAGTGAGAGATTTGAGGAGGGAAGTATCACTTTCACCTAGAAAATTGAGGAAAGACTTCCTGGGGGATGTAGCAATTGAGCTAGGCCTTAAAGAAAGGTTGGAACTTTAATTGACAGAGGCTGGAGTAGGGTAGGCCATTCTAGGTGGGGGAGGGCAGGGGAAGGGGTGGGGTGACATGAACAAAGACATGGAAAGAAAAGTAGATAGGATGGGGAAGATGGGGAACATGGAACAGTTTAATTTAGCTGGAATGTAGGACATGGGAAGGGTTGTATAAGTCTAGAGTCTGGATTGTGAGGGCTTTGAACACCAGAGCTTATATTGTGCTTTATTTGGTAGACAATAGGGAAACACAGAAGGAATGACATATTGAAGCAATTTGTTATATTCAGGCAGACAGGAAGATGCAAGGAGGAAAAATAGACTGGCAGAAGGAAGACCAGGTAGGAGAAAATTAGAATAGCCTGGTTTAGAAGATAGCCTGAATTAGTTGCTGGTTATGAGTATGAAGGAGAGGACAGGTAATTGTGCAGGTAGAAACTACAGGGACTTAAACTGATTGGATGTGCAAGGTAGGGAAGAGGAAAAGATGAGGTGATGACCTTGCGTGACTGGGAGGATGGTTTTGTCATCAGGTGGTGTCTGTAGCCAGTGATTTGGGCAAATAACAAGAAAACAGGGTGACTATCATCTTAATAATGTCTCCACCAAAAGTTCTTAACTTGGGGTCCATGAACTTGTTTTCAAAATATATTTTGATAACTGTATTTCAGTCTAATTTGTTTCCTTTGTAATCTTATTTTGTTTTATATACTTAAAAACATTACTCTGAGAAAGGGTCCATAGGCTTCACCAGACTGCGTCTATTGACCCAAAAACCATTAAATATCCCTGGTCTACACAGTCTTTTAAAGGTTGTTGCTACTGCCAAATAATGCAAGGTAAGTGAATTTGTTAATGGCAAGGGACAGAGAATGGAAAGTTCAGAGATAGGGCAAGTTAAAAATAATTATGGATTAGTAATTTCAAATCCAGTTTGCAAGTCTGTATTTAAAACAACAGTGATAAGAGCCAGATGTTTGAATGACTTAACAAAAACAACCACCACCTTTTCCTCCTAGGAGCAAACGAAAGTGGTGGTTCTGCTGTCGAGCCTGGCACCTTCCAACTCTGCCAAATGTCCACTCCTAAATCTTGCACCCCTCAGCTGCCTAAGACAAATGCGCTAGCCAAGTCATACATTCTTAGCAATGGTTTTAGATGTGAAAATGAAGAATGAGATTGTTGGTTAGAATAATGATAATCCACATTTATATAGTGTTTTAAACCTTACAAAACAATTTCTTTACAAGCACCATGTGAGGTAGGGAGGGCAGGTATCATTATCCTCACTTTACAGATGAAATTGAGGCTCAGACGTATTTGGGTGATTTGCCCACAATCACATGGCTGTCAAAATGCCAAATATGGCACCTGGACCACTGTCTTCTGATTCTAGGTCCAACGATCTTTCTTTCATGTTGTCTCTGGAAAATAATTACTACACAAAGAAAGTGCCCAGGCCACATCTTGGTTGATTTTGTCCTTTATTTTTTTTTTTAAGTAAAGAAATTCCATTGAATCAAAGATAACAAAATTATCGTTTTTTGTTTGCAATGATCTTTGTTTACCACCACACAGAATCAAAATAGGTCCAAAAGTAATATGAGAAAATAAAAAGATCAAGGACATCATTGCTTAATATAATTTTCTTAATAAAGGTAAACATCACCATATTTAGAAAAAATTGCATTGCTAGTTGCAAATCCTAAATGCCTTAGAGCTAAAGGATCCCATTCTCCCCACCTCCCCCCTTTAAGATCCAAAAGCTGGAAGGTTTTCAGTATACAAACTAATTTTTTTTTTCAGGGCAGCATTTTAAATTTAGGGGAAAAAAACAACCTTGTAACCTAACAGGAATGTGGAAGTGATGGTTCTTTACAAACCTATTTGGAAGCAAATCTGCCAAAATTAAGAAGATATGTTGAACAGGAGAGTCCAACCAAAATACAGAAAGAAATGCACACTCACTCCCCCTCCTTTCCCCTCCCCCATCCCCCCTCCCCCCTCCCCAGCTTCGCTAAGGCCGCTGTAGTGGCAAAAGTCAGAAAGCTCAGGTACAGTGTAGGTCTTCCTGAGGCAGAGTGAACTATCCCATCATCTGGAACCAGTGTGGAAGGAGAGTTTTACTTTGAATTGTGCTTTAGGAAAAATGAAAAAGGTCTGTTCCCCCATTCTCCCCCCACAAAAAAATCCCTCAGGGGAAAACTACTTCTGAAATAAAGAAAAATTGTTCATGGCCATGAACAGTTTGTGAAGTGAGTGGGTTTCATTAGGCCCGAGTTGGTCAGCTGAACTTTTATGGCCTGTTGGCTACCATATCATGGGAGGCCTGGAAGAAAGTTGGATATCGAAATGGAAGGCGCTTCCGCAGATCCCTCAAATGAAGGCTATCCTTGAATTTATGGCAATAGTGGATCCTGGCTAATGTCAACACAATTATTTTCTATAAGTTAAGTTAATATTCTTAAGTTAAGGTTTTATTACTAGTCATCAAAAGTGAAGCAAAGATCTAGAGGCTTCATGGAAATCAGAATATGTGACCTAACGCAATGGCTAGGAACTATATAAGTTCACTCATTAAAGTATATGAAAGCTTTAGTCAACATTATAATTAGGAAATTAGGGAATAGATGAGCCTATTATAGAGACAGTTGATATCCTAGAAGAGGCAGCTCTGATGATTGGTACCTGAAAAAAGGGTTGGCTGGTTTGGCTTTCCTGCCTTGGGGTACTGGCCTCACACCATGCCCCCTTTGTAAGAGAAACACCTGCAGTGTTGCTGAGTCACAAGGAAGATGCAACAGTGGTCAGAAGAAGCAGCTTTTTAGACTAGAAGGTCTCATAGTTCTCTGCCCCTGCTTGTACTCTCCTATACGATTTGGCAACAGTGATCCTCATCTCAGAGAGGCATGGAGAGTTAATTTCTTTTGCTTTAGTGATAAGGAGGAAGAAAACTTCCTTAGCTGCTTCTTCTCCCCAGATTAGAGGCAGCCCAATCTTTATAATTCTAAAGGGGGGCAAACCCAAACTCAATACCTGCGAATCATTTATTTGATCCAAGAGGTTTTAGGCAGTAGCCTAGGTAGAAAGAGTTCTGTAGGTCTACAGGCTTAGTGAGTTTTGGCTGGATTTTAGGAGTCAGACTAGTTATAATGAGAGTGGGGACTATGTTTCCTGCCTTATGATGGTTCTGGTTCAATCTCTCACAGCAGAGAGACACTACAATATTATGATAGATATCAGAGGATTTCCTGGAGGCTCTGGGTGTGAAGGAAGACATTCCCAAGGATACCTGATAGGACACTGCAATGATATAGTACTAAATGGCCCTTCTGTACTGCCTGAAGTATGAAGACCTGTAATATCTTTTAAGCTAGCATGATTCAATAATCTTTACTTCAGGCCTAAGTCAGAATCAGTGCTGTATTGAAGAAGAAAAACAGCTCATATCCCACACATCTGCTCACTTATAAAGCATAAGCAAGAACAAAAGTTCCATTGTGCCCCTGGAACTCACAGATCTTAAGTCATGTTATAAAGAGATTTGTAATTTGGATGCACGGCATGGTGAGCTTGGCTATATAAAGAGTTATGCCTAGTTATGCTGAAGGCTACAAATTGCTTTAATAACTGAATTACAGAACTTCAGAGCTAGTTTTGGAAAAGAAAAGGCTGAGCATGTGGAATTTTCTACCTTAAGAAGAGTCTTGTTGTCCTGCTTGGCTCATGTGCTGAATGACGATACTCAACTGGTTCCCCATGAAATCTGGGCCAAGATTACAAACACTTTAGAATTGAGAAAGGGTTTAAGGTAATAATGGTCACACTACAGAAGGTCCTGAAGGTATGACACAGTGCTCCAGCTGGTACCAATGGTCTTTCCTAATAACAGTTTTTTAAATACAATATCTCTTTCCCTAAACCTTAGTAAGCTAAGCTTTGACACAGTTATATTCCATATGCAAGGAATTTCGAGAAGGTAGTAGTGGTCAGGCTCAGCCTAGAGGGTCTGTAAACAGATCTAGGTTAGAAGAACGAATCTATGCTGACCACCAGTGACCAGCAACTAGATGTGGTAACTAAGTCAAGGCCTTAATAAAGAGAGTCAAGAATGCAGACTCCCTTTTTCAGATGAACTTCCATATTGGAAGGATGTGGTAACACAACCTCTATACATTAAAAGATAAAAGATGACTCCAAGGGCATTAAACAAAGACCTGGAACAAATGAAAAAAAAATCTCTTCTGCCTCTATCCTATGGTGATGGGAGCCTCCCTCCTGGAGAGACAAAGGCTTGTTTTCTAAATCTGTTAAAAGCATCCTTAAACATAAATGGATCAAGGGGTCTTGACATTACTTTCCAAGTGGCAACTGCTCCTCCCTATACTATACCAAATACTAAGCTAGTCTGGATGAGTTACTAAACTGTGGCTTACTTTTGCTTTTTGAGGTGAAAAGAATACAGCAGGAAGAAATATGAACATTCATTACACTTTGGTTTATTATCACTGCTCCTGTGTTGGTACAGCAGCTCAGAATCTGATTTAAAACTAGACATACCACTTCCAACACCATTTGGAAATCCAAGTTCATATTAGCCCTGATTGGTATGGTTTTATTTCTGGTTAAGGGGGAGGTAGAGTAGGGTTTGAAAAGTAGCCCAGGTTTTCCTTGCTACTTTATATTAAGAATATCTTAAAACAGGTTTAAGAAATGGCCAAAAATGTTTTCTTCCCTAGACACAGGTCATTTTATGTGGATTCAACCAATCAAATGCAGACAAGTTACCAGGCTAGCAGACAGAGAGCAAAGGAAAAAACCTCTACTTCTTGGTAATCGTTACTGGCTGTCAGCGTGGGCTGGGAGGAATAAAATAGGAAGCCTGGAGGAATGGAAAAGAAAATCTCCAAATAAAATGATATGCTGCACCCATGGCTTATTGGGAGGCTGGCATTTCTCTAAATTCAATGCTACCCATATTCACCCGAGGAGCAAACAAGAACAAGGATTTCCTTGTAAGACAAAAAGCCACATCCACACCCTCATTTCTATGCTGAAGAGACTGGAACACATACAAAGGGTTTCAGTCAATTCCACTTGGGCCAAAATGGAATGTAAATGCCACTGTCAGTCACATTGCACAAAAGATTTTAGCTGGGATGTTGTCCACAGGATGCTGCATGTTAAATTCTGGTTTTGCAGTCATAAAAGCTGAAAGACAGATGTGACTCTTTTCCAACAAAAGCAAACAGAGAATGATCCTGCTAACCAGTCCCCAGGAAACAGTCTTCACAGGGGAAAAAGACAGTTTCCCACTTGGCTGGATCTTTCCCCTACCTTCAGTCTTTTGTGTATGGAACAATGGTGATCTGATCCTTTTTCCTACTGAATGTAGCAGCACATGCATAAGCGCCAGTTATTAGAATAGGCCAGAAAAGATGGCCAAAGGCAAACAAAAGGAGTCTACCATTTTTGATGCAGTAATTCAATGGTTATAAAATTATTGCTTGGTTTAACTAATCTAAGTTTAGAGAAGTGATGGCAGCATCAGGAAGTCTGTCTATGAATGTTCTAGATTTCAGTTGTGAGTAGGTAGGGGGTTGGGGATGGGGGAATGGAATTTTTTGACCACAACTAAAGTGGATAATTGCCAAATCAAGGTTAATATAATAAAGTGCTAATTGGTGCTAAAAGAGTGTCACAGGAAAGGCAATAAAGAATATAATTTGGAAAAGATTACAATAAATTGAACAGGGAAACAATCAGAAAGCAAAGCTGACACCAAAGAAGTTCCAATATTTTTCAATACTGGCCGTTGTTCATTCTAATAAGATGGTGATCTAATGATTGTCACACAGAATTCCTTTAGGGTAGAAATAAGTCATTATCATCATGGTCACTTGGGGCAATACACATATCCTTCTGTCAATGGACATAAAAATAGTGCCTTCAAAGTGCCTGAGTAGTTCTCCCCAGCTGAGCTTTCCAAATTAGCCTCTACTTATTGCTGGAGTCAAAGAAGTTAAAGAAGGTAAAAGACTGAAAAGGATGCCTAGTAGTATCATTATAAATGCTGTACAATACCATAAAGCAACTGCTGGTTTTTAGCAACTTCATATTACAGAAACCACTGGAGGTTTTAGATACAGAGGGGCCAACAGATCAGGAAAAGGATAAAACCCCAAATCCCAACTGACATTTTTTGACTTGAGACTCTGGAAAAGTCTCTCTGACAGTATATAAGTAAAGGAGATTCAGTAAAAATTCTGTTCCAAAAAAGACAACTTTTTAAATGGAGATGTTTAACTTTGTCTAAACTTAAATTCTACTTTTGAATTGCCAAGCCAGTGTCAAGGAGACCTGGGTTAAAACAAACAAACAAACAAACAAACAAAAAACCTACCACATGATTCAGTGCTAAATAAAATCCTTTACACAAGTAATGAGGAAATAAAAGAAAGGCAAACGATCATATCAAGGCTACTTGTTTGATGTGGGCAAGAATTCAAAGAACAAGAAGTCATCTGGAACTCTGTTCTCTCAAAATCTAGCCAAATATAAATCATCATATAATTTTAGAGTTGGACAGGCTCAGGTATCAACCAGTCCAACTCTCTCATTTTACAGATGAGGAAACTGAGGCTGACAGAGGTTAAATGACTTGCCTAAGGTCATCGTGGCAGAACTAGGATTGCTAGTTTTCTGTCCACTACAATCTACTGCAAATGCAGAAAACGCAATCCCAAAATGGTGTGCCTTCATTATGTCTGAAGTTGATAGTCACTGATACTCAGACACCTCTGGTTATAAACTTCAGTAAGAAATTCTACACAAGATAGTTCTAATCTAAATGCTTTGCTGAACAGGGTGAAAGACCCTTTAAGAAGTGTTGTAAATATGGAACTTGGCTTATTATAGAAGCTGATTTTTTTTTCCTGCTTATGGAGCTCACACTCCCCCAAACTCTCATATACTAAGTGGTTCAAGCTCCCTCTCCTCAGTATTGGCTTGGAACCACAGGCCCTTTCAGAGCTGAAATAACGGCATAAAGTATAGTCGTAAAACTTTAGGATATATCTTGCCACTTTCTTGGGAGGATTTTTTGACTGGCAAAGCAAAGATGATGTTTTCAGATACATTTTTAATAGGGAAATTAGATGACAATTGGCTTAATCAAATGCTGAAATTGGACAGGTGATCAAGAATCCCGCCACTCATTATCATGGCCAATAATGCAATAAAGAAAACCAGTAACCTAAGCACAAAAATAGCCTGAAGATCCTGGGGACAGTCATCTGCCTCGACGAGAGGTGCTCTTGGTGGGCAGCTTCCCTGCTGACATACCCAGGTTATTGAGAAGGATAAAAACCTGAAGCAGCAAGTGAAGAGATGAGTAGTTTCAGAAGGAAGGGCTGCTGGAGTGCTTCTGAGTCTGTAAGGGCATCACTCCAGATCGGCGTCCATTTGCTCTGTGTCTGAGCACTGGGATTTGTTACGCTCCCATTGGCAAATGGCATTGGCATACTGCACCACCAGCTTATCCATCCAGGTCAGGGGTTCCGGGAAAAGAACAGCACCCTCAAAGAAGCCCAAGTGACCTCCATGAAGCGGCAGCACAAACATGACATTCTCTCGTTTCTCTGCAAGGGGAAAAAAAAGCATCTCTGTGAGTGATCAGATTCCAGTTGGCTCCCTTTGGGTGCAGATAAAGGAAGTTGTGTAATAGGTCTCTATTTTGCTCACTGGTAGCACCTGCCTGCTGAAAAGAGCATCCCAAATAGTGGCAATGATTTTCCATTAAATCACCCCTGTCTCTCAAATTAGCTGAGGAAGGCAAGAGGCTAAGATGCTGATGAATTTGGTTTGGGGATGTGATATGTAAAAGGCTATCTGTTCAACACACCTGGCTTAAGATATAAACATAATAATATTCATAGGCATGTTCTTTTTGATTACTATTTTATATGTTTTATAAGACTGGTTTAGAAATCTAGATGTTGTTTTAAAAGAGACTGTGTCCTATTTGATCATTAGATCCTCGGAGATGTGAACAGAGGCTTAGGGCTGGAAGTGACCATGGCCTCCCAGATGTAATCTAGTGCCAGACCTTGGCTCCCATACTTCTTATAGCTCCTGCCTGCTGTGAGGCAGACCTTTTAAAGCCTCTCAGGACACACTCCCACCCCCACCCTCACCCCCATCATCATCATTGGCCACAAGGTTGGACCTCAAGGGAGGGCCTTGAACAGTCTATTCAACTGCCTCCCTCAATGGACCTCTCTCAACAGTTAACACAACTCCTCCCTTTTATACATCATGTCCTATCCCAGTGATTCTCAAATTTCAGCTGCCAATGAACAGATCTCATTCCCCACCCCAAATGCCTGCTCCCTTACTCCCATATCCATCTCAAACCAACACCCCAAGGCCTCATTTCAGATCTTTTCACCTCTTCCATTTTGCCCTCTGTGACACCTGTTTCAAACTTAACAGATTTCTATCTTCCAGTCTTCACTCTTGATGATTGCTTCTTTGGCCTGCCTTGCCAGCACTAGGTTACATTTTCTCTCATATTCTCTGACCCACTGGTTGCAGCAGTAGAGTTGGAACTTTCCTTTGCTTCCCACTGACCCTTCCAGACTCTCCCTTTGCCACCATTACTCAGCAACCTCTCTTCCTTTGAGTTTCATGATTTCCAGGCTTATTACCAAACCCAGATCCTGGTTATTAATCCTGTTATTAATCTACCTCTTCTTTCTTCAATGAGTTCAGTGCCCTCAGACTAGAGGATTTCAGCATACATATTACTTCTCCCTAAAATTCTCTAACTTTTCAATTCCTCAATTTACTAATTTCTGATGACCACTTTATTCCACTTCAGCTAAACAGAGTTTGCTGTTACTCTGTTCCATTTCTATGAACTCTAAAATTCTTTTCTACGACCAATCTTTTAGCATCCCATCTTTCCCTATGCCTTACAAAACCCCAACTCTTTATTTATCCTCGATATAACTTTGAAGATTCCCTTCAGGTCTTTCAGAGGCCACCACCCTCTCCTCCTTTCCCTCTCTTGACTCCTTGGTGAACCAATTCAGCTCTGCACTAACCTCTCCACTTGGTCACTTATCTGATCACTTATCATGTGCCTTGCCAAACCCAACCCTGGAGTTCTCCCACTGTTTGAATCCTCTGCTCCTATTCACATGCTGGAATGGAACTGGAGAAAATACAATATGCTGCTGACTGGGTCTGTTACAAATTTGTACTTCCTACTCTCAGCTAGGCCCTCACTGCATCAAGATTACCTTTCTACTCCCCTTTAACTGATTTAGTATCCCACTGTCTACATTAACTGTTCCAAATCTTCTCATTTCTCCGCACGTATCTCAAGGCACTTCTTCCCCTGATCCTCTCCGTTGAGGACACTACCACATATTTCCCTGAAAAACTGAGGCTGTTTGCCAAGAGCTCCTTCATGTCTTCTCATCTCACATCACTCAAACATTTCTCCCCAACTATTTCTGCCTTCAGTACTTTATCATATGGAGAGGTAACTTTTTTCCTTGTCAAGGCCAACCCCTATCTTTGAACGTAACTTCTTTTATTTTCTCCAAAATGTTGTTCCTACTATCATCTCTATGATCTCTAATCTTTCCCTATTAGTTCCTTTCCAGCTACCTACAAACATGCCCATGTCTCTCCAACTTTAAAAATCCTCAACTTGAGTACTACAAGCCTAGAGTGCTTAATAAATGTTTCCTTCTTTCCGTTCTTCATTCTGACATTTCTGGCAAGTTATCACCTTGTATCTCTCCTCTTCTTCTCAGCTACTCCTTGAGAAAGCCATCTACACTAGATGTTTCCATTTTTACTTCTTCTCATCTCACTCTCTTAACCCTTTGAACTCTCATCCTTCAACTGAAACTACCCTCTCTAAAGTTACCAATACAATTACCAAATACAATAACCTTATCCTTCTTTCTGCAATATTTGATATGTTGACTACTTTCTCCTCCTGGATATTCTTTCCTATCTAGGTTTTTGTGATACTCCTCTCCCCTGGTTCTTATCCTACCTTTTCAATATCTTTTGCTGGATCTTTATCTAAGTCACACCCACTAACTGTGGCTCTGATCTGGGCCATCTTTTTTTTTTTCCCCATCTATATAATCTTAACCCTAAACCTGACCCTAATTCAAACCCTAAATGCCTCTGACCCTCATCTGATTGATTCCCAGATCTATACATCCAGTTCTTATTTCTCTCTTGAGTACTAGTCTAATATCACCAAATGCTTTTCGGATGTATTGAACCAGAGGTCTTCTCAGCATTTCAAACTCAACATTTCTAAAACAGAATTTACCTGTCCTTTCACCCTCCCGAGTACTGTCTGGGGCACTACCATTCTCCTATTCACCTTAGTGCCTCACTTTTACTCACCTCACACCTCCATTTTGTTGCCAAATCATGTCGTTTCTCTCTCCAAAACATTTCTCTTCTACGTTCCCTTCTCTCTACTCACACAGCCTCTCTGCTAGTTCAGCCTCCAATCACCTCTCACCTGGACTAGTGCAACAGCCTTCTAACTATTCTCCCTGCCTCAATTCTCTTTGGACTCCAAATTGTTCTCCCCTCAGCTACCACAGTGATTTTCTCAAAGCCCAGGTCTGACCACGTCCCTTTGCTATTCGATAAACTCCAGTGGCTCCCTATGACTTCCAGAGTCGAGAACTCCTCTGTTAGGCATTAAAGCTTTCATAACCTGACCCTTTCCTACTTTTCCAGTCTTTTCAGGCTTTATTTCCTTCTATGTACTCTACAGCTGGGCTAAAACGGTCCAAAATCTCACTTTCTGCAGGAGGCCTTTCCTAGTTTCCCCAGTTGCTAGTGCCTTCCCCTCTGAGATTTCTTCCCAGGTACTCTATATATCTTGTACACATCTAGTTATTTACATGTTACCCACCCCCGTTAGAGCACATACTCTTTGAAAGCAGAGACTGTTTGTGTTTTTCTTTGTAAATACTTAAAACAATGTTTTTTTGATGAGTTCATTTAATCTGGCCTATTCATTTTACATATGAAGAAAAACCACAGAGGTTAAGTGGTTTGCCCAAGGTCAGTGGTGGTAAACGACAGAGGTAGATTTTGAACCCAGGCCCTCTGTGTATAATGCACTTCTGCTATTATATTCAAATATAAGAAATCATGAGACTATTTCTCTCTCATAATGAAAGCTTTTCATTGTGTAACATTTGACTCCTAGAATACATATCTCTTTTATTTCCTGGGTTACAAAGGCTTTGATAAGTGACTGAGTCCTCTGTGTTTCGTTCTACTACATGTTCTCCCCCCCACTGCCCCTAGCCCTGAGTGTTTTAAATGAACCAACAATTTTCTTCTTTCCTTTGATTCACTTATTATATTCACAAGAGGAAAACGTTTCCCTCACAGTCTTCCCTCTCTTGGGTCTAAAATGATGTGCAGTTTGTCTCCCGGATGACAAAGAAAGATAATGTGGGCATTCCCAGATCTTTTCCTCTCTTTCCTCAGCTTTCCTTTTTGTCCTCTAGCTCTTGGTTAGTATGGAATGAGATCACACCATCCTCAAACCCAATAAACTACTCTCCGCTGGACAGTGTTGTTTTGCTCTTCCAGTTGCTTGGTTTCAGTCCCCAACCCCACTGGAGTCACCAAAGCATCAGCAGTGATGACTTTGTATTGTGTTCTTCCTGTGGTTCTGAATACTTTCTTTCTCAAAGCCAAACTTCCCCGTGGAGAAAAATCATAATCTCCCAGACAGTTTCACATAGCACTGGGTGACAGAAACAATAGCTCCTGGCTTGATAGTTGAGAACCTCTTGCAATAGGACAGGAGGAAAGCCAAAATATTTCTTGTTTAGGTATTCAGGTGGCAACATGATCAGAGATTCTTTGAATATGAACAGAATCTTGCTGGATAAAAGCATGGCGGTAAGAAAAGCCTCCCCATAGAAAAGATATTTCTAGGAGATCATTTCATGAGGAAGATGACAGGATTTACCGTGTCAGAATGAGTACGGAAGAGGATTAAGAAAAAGAAACGCTTACCCGAAAGAGCTCTGGGGATTGTTAAAAGGCTATCATGCACCAAGGGGTCATCAGCAGCATTAACCAGCATGAGCGGGACGTAAATCTGTGCAAGGAAAAATGAAGGTAAAACTCCTGTCTTCATGTACGGCCGTCATTGTTCTTGGGCGGCCAAACCCTGAAACTCGCTACTCAACACTTTCTGAAGAGAAAGTGAGTAAAGACCAGTATCTTTGCCCGTGATGAGTGTATACACATGCCAAGTCGGTAATACATGAATGATAAGCTTCATTGACTTGGAACGTGCATAAACAGGTTGAGAGTGACCTCTGCTAAATTTGTTAATAATATTAGCTGGAAGTGATACAACTAATATATTCATTCCACTACAAAAATACTTTGGGATACACAAAACAGGGCAATTTTATTACTTTTTTGTTAAATTTAACATATACTTTCAAAAAACTTTTATTTAACAGTTTCATATACAATCCTCTTTTCTATTCTTTTTAAAAATCAAGTCTTCCATTTCGGTTAAAAAACAAAACAAAACAAAAACATATGGGGAGATTATACTGGCAGCAGGTTGATGTGAAAAAAGATCTGGGAATTTAAGTTTTCTAAAAGCTAACTATTATTAGCCAACAATGTCACATGGCTGCTAAAAAACGAATTCAATTTTAGTTTGCATTCAAAAGCTGGGATTCTTAACTCTTTTTGTGTCATGGATCCTTTTGGTAATCTGGTGAAATTCATGGACCCCTTCTCAGAATAATGTTTTTAGGTGCGCAAAACAAAATACACAGGACTACAAAGGAATCCAATTATACTGAAATAAATTTTTTTTCATAAACTTCCTTGATATCTATCCATAGATCCCTCTTTCCTCCCTCCCCGCAGGTCTTTGGACCCCAGGGTAAGAACTCCTGCATATACTATTAAGACCATAGTACTGATGCCATTATAGCTCTGTGTTATCTAAACATGTCTGGGATACTGTGTTTAATTCTGGGTGCTACATTTTAAAAAATACAGGGTTTGGAAGGTGGCCCAGGATGATGAGGAATCTGCAAACCATCTCATGAGGAGCAGATTAATGAACTGAGGGGGACATAACAACTTTTTAAATATCTGAAGGGCTTTCCTGTAAGGGAGGTAGATATCTTCCATATAATTCTAGAAGGCACAAAACTAAGCAGCACAGTGTAGTGGAAGGATTGCTTGTATTTAGAGCCAGAGAACCTGGGTTCAAATCCCAGATCTGTCACTTAGTACTTGTGTGACCTTGGGTAAGACATTCAACCACTACGGTATTCAGTTTTCTCATCTGTAAGATAAGAGGGTTGGCCTAGGTCACCTCTGAAGTTTCTTCTCACTACAGATCTATGATCCAAATTAAGAGGAAAGCAGATCTCAGTGCAATATATGAAAGAAGTTTTTTAACAATTTGAATGTGCCAGTGATAAAGTGGGCTGCCATGTGAAGCATTAAGTGCTCCACGACTAGAGGTATTCTAGCAGAATCTGGACGATCATAACCAGAAATAACGTAAGGAGGTGTTTTTTTACTAGCTGGACTCCCAAGTCTTTTCTAATTCCAAGTCCAGGTTTCTTAGGTTTGGGGGCAATGCAAAAATAGTGTTATCATTTATAGTCTGTTCTAGTCACTCACCCTGTGCAGATATCTCATGCAGCTTTCTTCTTCATAATATTCTTTCAGAGAATTATAGCCATGGAACTTCCTAAGATATATCGAAGGAGGAAAAAAATGTAAGACAGGTATAGATACTTTTCTTCAGGCCTCAATTCTGGTCTGTTTTTATCTTTCTTCTAATTCCCAGATTCATTTACAAGAGCTAACATCTTTCCACGATTTTAATAAAGACCAACTGTTTGAGCCCAGACTGGTATGAAGCTAGACATCACTGAAGAGGCTAGGAAATTCAGAGGTTGCTAAGGCATTTTTTTGCAACAGAGGCTGTTCCAGCAGAGGACAGTCTTTCCACCTAGATTGTTGCAGGATGAGATGACATAAATTAGGGAGCGGGAGGTGGACATGGATGTTAAGCTCCAAATCCTGTTTACTTAGGAGGCAGTAATTAGGGATAGACTACTTTCTCTTCTAATTTTTAAAAATAGTATGACCTTTAGTAATAAGGATTATTATATGGTATAAGATGTTCATCTAATCCTAATTTCTATCAGCCTGTTTTTCAGTTTTCCTAGTAGTTTTTATCAAACAGGACGTTCTTTCCTAAGTAATTTGTTTTCTGGTTTATCAAGGTTCCATTATTTCTAATTCTCCCTTGTCTAGTATGTTCTGCTGATGTACCTCTCTAATTTCTTTTTTAACCAATAACAGATGGCTTTGATGACTGCTGCTTTATAATAAAAATTTGAGGTCTGGAAGTGCTATTCCCCCTTTATCCTTACCTCTCTGCATCATTTTCCTTGATATTCTAGATCTTCTAGCCAACCTAGCTTTCCAAAGCTAAAAACTGTCCCTATCTTAAATGGAGACAGTTAAAATCCATTTAACTTTTCTGTTCATGCTGAAAGGTTTCTTATCCCCTCTTTCCCTGACAAGGCCATTTTTTGCCTCATTTCTTACCTGGCCTTAATCACTGAAAGGGCGTTGCCTTAGACAAACTGAGCCCTGGGAAATACCTTAGCTTAAAAAGGCCAAGTTGCATCCAGGGCCATTTCTAGTAGTCCTGATCTATATCTTGCCACATTAGATTCTTATTATATTTTTATAGAGTTCTATAAAGTATCTCTACAATAATTTGATTGGTATAGTATTAAAGCTATAAATTAAATTTAGTAGTATTTATCATTTTTATTATGTTGGCATGGCCCAGCCCAAGCACTGAATATTCCTCCAGCTTTTTAAGTGGTTCTTTATTTTTTATTATTTTATTTTATTTTATTTTTTAGGCAATTGGGATTAAGTGACTTGCCCAGGATCACACAGCTAGTAAGTGTCAAGTGTTTGGTCTGAGGTCAGATTTGAACTCAGGTCCTCCTGACTTCAGGGCCAGTGCTCTATCCACTGCGCCACCTAGCTGCCCCTGGTTCTTTGTTTCTTTAAGGGGAATTTTGTAACTGAACACACACACACACAGACACACAGACACACACAGACACAGACACACACACACACTCTCAGAGTATTTTGTGCACTTTGGTGGATTGATCTCCAGATATTTCATGCATTTTGCATTTATCTGTAATGGGATTGATTTCCCTTCCTATTATTGCCTCTTGGATTCTGTTATTTACATAGAAATGCTCTAGATTTTTCAGGGCTTATTTAGTAGCCTGCAACTTTGCTGAAGTTATTAATTGTCTCAATTAGTATCTTTGTTGATTCCATTAGAATCTCCAAGTAAACCATCATAGGATAGACCACTTTAACAAAAATATAAAATGCTATGGGATGGACATCATAACAAATAACAGCCCTGACTTTCAAGTTTTAGAGGTCAGATTTGTCCTGCTTAAGGCTTAAGAATATGATACAGACCCAGAACATCCCTAGTTCAGACGATTCCTGGGAAACTAATTTTTTTCCAGTGATATTGAGGAGTTCAGATTTGATTTAAGAATGACAAAATGGACAATTTCAGAGAAACCTGGGAAGGCCTGTAAAAACTGATGCAGAATGAAGTGAGTAGAACCAGGAGAATAATGTATGCAGTAATTACATTATAAAGAAAAACTCTGAAAGACGTTAGAACTATGATCAATGCAATGATAAACTAAAATTCCAGAGACCCAAAGAGGAAGCATGTTATCTACCTCCTGACAGAGAGAAGATGGACTCAATATATTTTTGGACCTGGCCAATGAGAAAATTTGCTTTGCTAGACTATGCCTATTTGTTGCAAGGGTTTTATTTTTTTCTTTCTGTTCAGTTTTAACAGAAATAACAACAAAAAAGGATTTACTCTAAGGGAGGCTTGACTCAGTGTAGGAACTCCTTTGCCAACCTAGCTTTCCAAAGCTAAAAACTGTCCCTATCTTAAATGGAGACAGTTAAAATCCATTTAACTTTTCTGTTCATGCTGAAAGGTTTCTTATCCCCTCTTTCCCTGACAAGGCCATTTTCTGCCTCATTTCTTACCTGGCCTTAAATCACTGAAAGGGCGTTGCCTCAGACAAACTGAGCCCTGGGAAATACCTTAGCTTAAAAAGGCCAAGTTGCATCCAGGGCCATTTCCAGTAGTCCTGATCTATATCTTGCCACTGGACCCAAACGGTTCAAGAAAGAATGAGGTTGGTCACTTTACACAGTTCTGCCTCACTTAAATCCAATTCACTTGCAAGTCATGACATCACCTTCCTGATGTCATTGGTCCTCTTTGAGAACAAAGGATAAACAACAGGACACCCTCCTAAGGCTAGTGGCTTAATAGATATCATTGGTGCAAAAAGGTCATTATTGTCATAAGAATCAGAAAAGGCTTTATTCTCCAGGGATGATATTTACCTATGACTTAACGCTAGCTTGCTTCTGTTCACGCCTAAAGCTCTCTTGACGTTAAATAGAACCTTTGAAGTTATAAAAAAAGTTGAGGAGGCAACCTCACCTTTCTCTGCTAGAGCTAATTTCATCCAGCAACTGATGCTATCTTAGAAGGAAGTTATTCTTAGACAGCAAAGCTCTTGCACTATACATACCTCATCACATTGTCATCAATTTGCATAAGGGATGTTGCTGTGTACAATCTGCTCAAGTCAGTATCCTCAAGGCTTTGAGGTTTCTTAACATTGTTTCCAAACAGAACTTGCCTGGAATAAAAATGAAAAAGGACACAACTTCAGGATAAAAACTGAAGGAGCATGCAATGGCAAAGGGGCCTACCCTGCTCAAAGATAATCTGGAAGAGTGAGACTTTGCCAAAGTGTCTATATGTCAATTTGAAATAGATCCCTGTAGCCCTCAGAGTCTGCCAGTGAATGAGCTCAGATTGTTGGGTTGTGAGCAGAGGGAGGTAAGCTGAGACCTTCTGGCCCTTTCAGAGACAAAGATAAGCTCTGTGGAGTGGGTGGAGGCAGTCCAGACAAGGCTAAAACATTTGGAACTGAGACAGTGCCAAACCTTGCAGAACTCTCTTCCTCTCACCCCAGAGCAGGATATTTGTGGAATCTGCTCTGAAGGGAGTGCCAGGCAGCAGGCTGGCTCCATGTGCAGGTAGCACTGGCCCACTGTTGTCAGTGGCATGGCAGCAAACTGGTATTACCACCTCAAGGAGAGTGTCTTCTCCTTTCTGAGTTGGTTCCTCCTCTTAACGAGGAAGGCAATTAGCTTATTCAACAACGTAGTTCCCTTTACAGAAGAGATGCTAAAAGATTAACAAAAAGGAAAATGAGGGCACTCTCACCAGACAAGCCCCAATGAGTAGTATTTATATTTCATCTCTGTAACAGCTGTACATCATGCTGCAGTATTTAACAACAGCTCTGCTCTCCCCTGCGAGACCAAAGGTGGGCAGCGTTTGCTTTGGTGCCCTACCCTAAAGCAGGAATTATATCCAATTGGAAGTAAGTTGTTTGGCACCTTTACAAACCCACTACAGAACTGGAACAGACTTTTTCAGCTTTTTAAAGTTCACTTTGTGAGGGGACTATATGCTGTGTAATTATATGCAATATAATTCACATTTTAAAAATTCTTTAAGTTGTCAAATATTTGGTTTTCCATATTCAAGAAAAGTATATGCACCCCAAAATTTACCGGGTGAGCTAATGCAGCACACACTGGAATTATCCTATATAGAAGGTTCATCAACCTAATGATTAGCAGAAAACTACCTTTCAGATCTTGGTTGGTAGGGCTGAGTCCTTATCTCCCCAAAAAGAGATATTTCACAAAGTTTAACTTCCGGTGGCCACTGTGTTGGACATTTACAGGGCAAAACAAAGCAGCAACGGCATCCATGTCTCACGAATTCGTATCTGGGATGAGGAACAAAAAGTCTCTTCCCCGTCTATTGCCTATTTTATGTAAGGATCAAAGAAGCTATGATAGAATGTTGTTCAGTTGTGTCTGACTTTTTGTGACTCCATTAGGGGTTTTCTTGACAAAAATATTGGAGTGGTTTACCATTTCCTTCTCCAGCTCATTTTACAGATGAGGAAATTGAGGCAAACAGGGTTAAGTGATTTGTCCAGGGTCACACAACTAATATATGTCTGAGGCCACATTTGAACTCAGGAAGATGAGTCTTCCTAATTCCAAGCACTCTATCTACTCTGCCACCTAGCTGCCCCAGCTATACTAGAATATAGCAGCCTAAAACATACAGATTACAGATGATAGTACAAGGAGACCAAATTTTTTTTTCTAATGGTTAATTTAAATTAAAAAATAAACATTTAACAAAAGCAAATTGATAGTTAAGTATTTATTTACTTTTGTTGTTATTTTTAGGTTAGCAAAAAAAAAATCATTAAATAAAACACCTATGGGGATAAAAAAAAAAGTCTTGTTTTTGTAACCTCCAGAAACTGACAATCTTGTTGAAGAGACAGGCCTAGAACTTCTGAGGCAATAACAAGTGACGTGGCAGCCTACGATAAGCATACTGCAGAAAGCGGACTGGACATAGAATCAGAAGACCTGGGATCAAACCCTGAGTCTGCTACTTCCTCCCCATGGGCTTTGGGCTATCATTTCACTCCTCTGGGACCAAACTTCCTCATCAGTCACCAGTTACAGCAAGAGGCTGAACCCTTAGGGGTTAACATTTCTAAGGTTTCTTGGAGTTCTAAATCTTATTATCTTCTAAGTGGTACATATGGGTTGCTTTATACACACCTCTTTTGTTCCTCATTACAGCCTTCTAAGGCAGGGAAATAATTGTGATATACAGAACAAAAGATGTCAACAGAACTTGGGGCTTTTTGTGTGTGTGTGATGAAGCTTCAGAGGGCAGATGTTGGGGAATAGTAGTAAAACCAGAGTAATGTTTTGCATACAGTAAGCATTTAAGCAATTAATAAAACATTTGCTGCATACTGTTGGATCAACAGGTAGACCCTGATTATGGAAGGCCTTAAATCTAGGTAGATGAGATGAAAGTGGAGGGGGCAGGGCAGGGGCCGAGCATTCAAGTTTTCTTGAGCAACTGAATTGACATAATTCAAATAGTATTTAAGTGAGAGCAATAAATATGGCAGAGGCATGTTTTGAGTGGCTATTTTATTAATACATTCTGTGATCAGTTTTGTGAATACATTCTTTAAAATGCTAACAGTCTTTATGATATATAGTTAAAGTATGATGTAAGAGAGCCATTCCCTTCCTGGATTTACTTAAAGGTAGAAAAAAAAAATCTGACCAGCTTTTGGTGGTTGAGGAAAATGTAATTTCTAACAAAGGAAAAATGCAATGATTAGGCCAGCAGGAACACCTGAGACTGTGTCTAAGCAGGCCATTCAGACCATTTGATGTTGTAGAAATGAGGGTCCAGAGCCTCTTAATAGCTCCTATCATACTAGACAGCAAATGACTATGAGCCCCATGAGAAGGAACGAAGGAAGGGCAATGGTACCTGTGAGAAAGAATGATTTTCTTCATGTTGTCAGCCATGAGGAAGTTGTAAAATCTTCGGCACTGATCCCACTGCATAAAGGTTTCCTGTGCCCTATACCAAGCCACAAAATAACAGTTAGAAAGGATGAAAGAAAGGCTCAGAAACGAGAGGTAGTCAGGCAAAGATAATAAGACAGAGATTCTTTCATTGTAATGAGATGCTTAAAACAGGCAGCAGAAGCTTTTAAGGTTGCTGACTTTGGCTTTTGGAAAAGAGGATGTTGACTGACATTGCCCAAACCATCGATTTTAGAATAACACACTGAGTGATCATGCTATTACTGGCAAAGATTACAGCAGGAAGAAGCTGCTCTGGCGGCCGAGACATCTCGTTTGGTCAATGTCACTCACTGGGGCTCCACTTCAACTGCTTGTAAACCTGTTAGCCATGCCAGAAAGTAATATCATCAATGTGACAGTAAAAATCATTATTCTAACATTAGGGTTGCCTTCCACCCTGCAAATAGGTTCTCTAGTATGACTGGTATTTTAATAATGAGTGTGTATGCATATATTTTACATTTGAAAAATGTTCTTTTGGCCATATTAAAAAGGCATAGGGAAGGCATTTTTTTTTTGTAACAACTGAATTTTCATTTTTCTGGTTTCATTACTCACAAAATTAGTGTGACCCCAAATTGATAATCTTTCTTATGACTAGTCTTAGAATTTTGGGGCAGGGGGTGAGAAAATAGAAATGAAATTAAAATGAGAAAATCCTTTCCAGGCATGACTAGCAGGGAATTAGTGCTGAACAGAGCTTCCCCCTGCCATGCTAGTGCCATCCCATCCAAAATTACCTTGTGTCTGCTTTCTGTGTGTTTTATATGTATCTATATGTATATATGCCGTCTGCCTTTGAACATAAGTCCTCTGAGGGAAAGTACTGTTTTGCCTTTGTCTTTGTATCCCCCATGCTTAGCAGTTAAGTGCTGAATAAATTCTTGTTGATTATTGGTGTGTGTGTGTAAGGAACTGCCAGCCTTCCTTCTATAAATATTCAGTTGCCAGATTTGTACGCCTGTATGAAGTGAGGGTACGTTTTGACAAGCCAATAGCAGCTGCTTCACAGACTAGCTAGGAAGATTATTCCTCATAGACCTCTACTTAATGCCTCCTTTCCACCAGCATAAGTCATAGAACCAACTGCTTACTGAGTCTGAATTAATAAAATCCCTTCATTGTTGTTCTAATGTCATGAATGTCAAGAGGCTCAATTTCACAATGTTTATTAATATATTAACTTAGCTGTCACATATTTCTCCTAACACCCTTAAAGAAACTTTATTTTCATCTTCCAAATAATGGAGTGAGGCATATGGGTGATATGAATCTTTTTTCAACTAATTAATTAATTAATCAATAGTTTTCAACATTCACTTCCACGACAAGAGTCCTTCAAACCCCAGTGATTTGAAAAAATAATTTCCTTCCAAATTGCCTCAATTTCATTTAGGGGTTAGCAAACTTTCCCCATGAAATGATGTTAAAAATGACAATGAGAAATGAAATATTTTTCAGATTTAATGAGTGGAGAAATTGTTGTATGATACTAGTTAGAGCTCACTGTTAAGAATGTTAGTGACACAAAGGTCAAGAGGCCCTAAGGGCTGTAAGCTCTGCACAAACCAGAGCCGAAGAAAGTGAAAAGTTCAACAAGAATCCACAGCAGAACCAAAGCTGTAGGAACTGAACATGTTAACAGGCCCTTGGGCCCCTTCCTTTGGACCCAAGGGGCCAGTCAGGCAATTTCCCCACATGCCTAAGCAATGAACAGCAACTTGCTTCCTTTGCCAGCTCACACCCCTTGACTCTCAGACAACCTGTCCAGAAATTAGACTGCCTCTCTAGGACAATTCTCTTCCATTCTTTCTGCCTGTACCTTGACATGGGGGGAGGAGGAGGTAGGAAGATATGTGTGAAGATGGAGCGTTTGGGACTAAAATTGGATATGTGTACTAAAGTGACTTAGTAACAAAATAAATTATCTGAAGAGCTTTGGCCCCTGTTAGGTAGTTAAGGTTTGATCAAGTGTTGCCATAAGATGCTTATTTTAATGTTTTCACGTTGATTATCTATGGCAAATATGTATTCCCAAACTAGGTTTCTCTTGTCAACTGTCATATTTCTGGGCCATCTTCCCTCATCATCAGGTGATATATAGTTAAGCAATGAATGACCTGTCTAATCAAAAAGACTATAATAAATAAAATACCTGTCTAATCAAAAGTAACAACCATAATAATGATGCTACACACGTGCGCGCGCGCACACACACACACACACACACACACTCTCTTCCCTAAAACCCTCCAAACCATGTGGTCTACAGCCAACTCAATATATTTGAATTATGTATCACTTTATTCACATGACTACTCTCTTTCATCAAAGTCAAGAGTTGGCCCAACTTTGTAATTCAAGTTGAAGACATCTAAGATATAGGGAGAAGTAATCTCAATAAAAACAGCTGTTCAAAATGCAATAAAGTAAGCCCTCACTACCATTTTCAGTGATGCTAAGGCAGCAATCTGTGCTGTATTACTAGAAATGCAGTTAATAATATAGAACCACACTTATCTTGTTTCTACGTGTCCAGATCTTCATTTGGACTGTTTAACAGGACTGGAAATAGTAGTAGGAAAACGGGAGAATGAAACTAAAACTCAGTAGCAAAGAGGAGAATGTAGTTGAATGCAGATAAGAAAGCACCAGGAAAGGAGAGTGGGGACCAGTCAAGGGAACTCTGGACTCTCTGGATGTTTCCATATCCAGATTACTTCTGGTCCTGAGATACCTGGATGGATGTACAATGGTTCCATTGTACATTGCACTGAGAGGATTTTCCTAGTGGGAAGTACTGTATTATTAATAGCACCTTATATTTGAATAACATTGATTTTTCAAAGCTTCTTTATATTTAGTATCCTCTCTATAATCCTGTGAACTAGTGAGAGGAGGAATAATTTCTTACTGATGAAAAACCAAGGTAGAGCAAGACTAATGATTTTCTTACCACAAACAGCAAGAATGCTGTCTCTGCCAATGACTAAAGACAATTGATTTTCCTACATTTGTGCCTTAATTTTTCACATCTGTAAAATCCATAGGCTTATCTCTATTTTCCATCTGTCCTTTCTTCTCCTCTCTGGAGTGTTGTGAGAAAAAAATACAATTCTTTATTATGTACTTTGAGCTCCCCAGGGAAAAGGTTGCTATAAACTACTTTCCTATATTGTAAACTATCTGAAGGAAAGGACCTGGTTTCCCATCTTTACAGCATTAAGTACAGGACTTGTACTTTTAAAAAGTCTGATTACTTCATAAACCACGAATTCTAAATTTGTGATAAGGCTAGGTTAAAGTTCATCTCTTCTCAACAAACTTAATGAGAGCACAAATACTTGAGAACAAACTTTTTAAGTATCCTCAAGTACTATTTACATTAAAGGTGATCCCAGGAGTAACCTCTAAAGCTCTATTAGCCTAATATGAGTTACCTTTTTGTATTTAAAAAAAAAAAGCCTCTCTTTCAGACATTCTGCAGATTCAGGCTGCCCTTTCTCCAGGCCTTAAATCCAGGACTTTTGACTTTTAAATCTCATGTTTTTTCTACTGCATAGTACTGCCACTCATCTAAATTCTATTCAAAGGCCTACATGTAGTGTTATCAAACCCATTTAGTAGGCAATATAACCACACTTGATGGGGATTCTTAATGTGCATTTGATAATTCATGTATTGTTCTTTAAAAGGGTCTTGGGTTCCCACAAGGCAATGCAGAGCCAGGCCCTGCTCCAAGTTGTTAATGCTTCTCACTACCAACCTGTACCTCTTTTTTCCCTTTGTCTCATTTCCTCTTGGAATCTTCTCCTAATTAATTACAACCTGGCTGATCATTCCTGTACCCTTCATCCTCTCAGTACTCATTGACCGTTGGCTGTCCAAATCATAGACTGTCCCTTTCAGTATAATCTGCACACAAAGGGTGCTCAATAAAAAGGTTGTTTTATATTGATAGTGGTTTTGTAGTTACTGCCTGATGTCACAAAGAGACTATTAGGAGTCTTCTCTGAAAAGATGTCCAGAACTGTTGAAATGTTCTGTAAACCTGTTTTGCCTGCTAAGAGACCATGGGGCTTTCCCACCTTCCAGCTCGTAGGTCAGATTCTTAGAAGTAAAGAACTAGCATGAGATGGAGTATATTGCATTTGCATGACCAGTTCTCTCACTTACCTTTGGGACCTGCCAGTTGCTAAATGGATGAAACTTCCACTCAGATGTCTTTAGACACACAGGCTCAAACAACTAATTAAATCAAGGATTAGTTTGACCACACAAATTCCCCTGGCTTAGGCAGCAGCTGCTTATGCCGAGAAATTATCTCAAACAGCATGAGATAGATCACGTGGTTTTTAGTAATTTGTACTGTCTCTTCATTGGTGTAACCCATAATAAAACATGAAGTCATTCAATAGCCACTAGCTTCTGCTGATTAGAGGAAGCAGGCAGCTGGTTCCTCTCTGCTCCTCCTATTTCCTTTTGCCACAGGAAGGGTACACTAATGGGCTTAGGTGACAAATGATGGAAGTCACCACCCAAACAGTTCTCCAGATTCAACTATGAGTGATTTATTATAAGAAACCCAGTGATTTCAGAAGCATGTCAGCCCTCTCCGCTCAACTTTGTTTTTGTTTTTTGCTTTTTGGTGAGGTGATAGGGGTTAAGTGCCTTGCCCAGGGTCACAAAGCTAGTAAGTGTCAAGTGTCTGAGGCAGGAACTTGGGTCCTCCTGATTCCAAGGCCAGAACTCTATCTACTCTGCCGCCTAGGGGCCCCTCCCCACTCAACTTTGGCAAAAAGGATGGGAGGAGGAATGAAAGGTCACAATAATGTTGGCCACTTTCAAGCCCTAGCAGAAAGGGCAGGTTCGGGGCTGTCAGATAATGCCATGGACAGAGTGCTGGACTTGAGTCAGGAAGACCCAGATCCAAATCCTGCCTCAGACATATGCTGAGGGGACAGGTCATCTGACTAAGGCAAATCTAGACAGAATGATCTAAGACTCAGCTTCTTCATTTGTAAATGGGGATAATAATTTTGTACCACTAGTTAAAAGGTCAAATGGCTTTTGAGAGGCTCAAATGAAAATGTATTTGCAAGCACTGCACAAATGAAAGGCAGTTTGAGTGGAGTGGTAAGAGTATTGGTCTGTTTATCTCATGAAGTTGATGTGGGAATGAATGAAATAAATAAAATACGTGAAGCACTTTGCATCTCTGGAGAAGGGGCTAAATACATGTAGCTACAAAATTTATAGCTCTTCATCATATTACAGACTTTGTACTTTTGTTTCCCCATCTGACACACAAACACTGGTCATAAAGGGCCTCATGGCATGCTCTTGACCCCAGTAGAGGGAGCCAGTGTAGCAAAATGAAAGGAGGTTTCCAGTCAGGAGATGAAATCCTTGCAGATGTTTCTGGTCTTTTTCTTTAAAACAACAACAAACATTTTTGTCTTCTCCTAATGAATATTTTGCTGGTGCTTTGAATGTCAAGTTGATGCATATGTCTCCTCAATTTAGACAGGTTATGTTTATGGATAAAATAATGGAGGCCAGGCCCTTCTGGGTATATATAGTAAAGTCAATTAGACATAAAACTTAAGACGCCCCTGGCTTTACTAATTTCAAAGCTGGCTGGTTTCTAACCTATCACTTCCTATCTCCATGACTGAACTAAAGCATAATCATGCAACACAATGTTAGGCTTCAGAAAATCAAGGAAAAATCTAAATTCAGGATGGTGGAACCCATATTAGGATGGTCTCTAAAGTAGAATACCTCATTTACTGAGCATCATTCAGAAAAGCGGTATTCTAATATGTACATTTTCCAGAGAGCTGACTTACTCCTTTTTGTCCAAATCTTATTCACTAAAAAAAATGTATTAAGTACCTATACTTTATATAAGGGCATATTACTTTAACTACATTTGATGAAAATTTAGGCAAAATGTTATGATACACATTAAAGCAGTCTTAAACAGGGAAGGCAGAACTTTTATTTGATGACATAGGATGATTATTGTGGAAAAAATTATCATGTTGTAAAGAAAGGCTAGGAGAAATCAGTATCTGGATAGTAATAGCTAATATTTTGAATAGCCTTTTCAGCATATAAAACACTTTGTAACTTTAAAGAATACAGTTTTGTTTCCACATTCTTAGTCTATCACTTGTGAGCTAAAAATAATCTTGATTAGAAACATCTCCAGCAAAACCAAGAGCAAAAAATATTTACTTTCTGGCTGATTTCATAGTTTTGCTTAGTTGTATTTTTGTTTGTTTGTTATTTTTTTTTGGTGGGGTAGAGGGAAGAGTGGGAGAGGGAAGGGGTGGGAATTCCAACAGAAGAAAGAGAGAGAGAGGTAGTCTAAGAACAATGGACTAGGAGACAGGAGACCTTGGTCCAATTGCTGGTTCTCAGTCACTACCTAGATGTGTGACTATGAGAAAAACATCTCTGGGGCTTTAGTTTTCTATAAAAATGAGACTATTAGGTTACATGGTCTCCAAGATCCTGTTCAACTCTAAAATTCTGATTTTATGAAGAACCAAAAAGTTTCAGTCCAATTCTCTCAATTTATAAGCACTTTCCAGGCTGTAGGACTGGAGCTCAGAAAGTCTTAGAGATGGAAGTCTGTTCCCAGGCCTTTTAAAATGTATTCAGGAATTAATCTGAAGCTATCATGATGTTGATAGCTCTGTATAAGGTCTGGCCTTGGAGTGCACTGATCTCTCTGTCACTACTTCCCAGACTGCTGTTGCACCACACATGAAAACTGATCCTGGGAGTCTAAGATTCCTCTCACTACTAGAGAATTCTCTAAGACTAGATTTAGGTTATATAGTAAGAGATTACACTTTGGGCTAATAATACCTTAGTGTGCTCACTGACAAGGCCTATTATCAGTACAGGAAAACAATGAGGATCACATCAGGAATTCCTGTTGTTTTTTAAAAACCTATCTCCAAGGAGGATGGACAATAAAATAAGGCTTAAACTGAAGCCTAAGGCTTTTAGGTAAAGCAACAAAAGATTTGCTAATCATTAGATTAATATGCTAATATTAGAAGGACTAGGCCCATCAAATGACTGCAAAATTTGCTTGGTCCTTCAAGGTACTATAAATTTCAGCCATCTAACACTGGAACATTATACTAAAGGAGATTTTTGGTAATCCTTCATCAGCAGCTCTTTAAAAACAGGACCCAACTGTAATGGGTTCATGAGTTTACAGAACTCATTAATCCAAAGGCAGTGTAGGCATGCAAATGGATTAAAATGCACATGGAAAAGTATTCAAAGGTTATGAAAGCTGAAACCATAAAATGTCAATAAAGAAAAGCTGAAAAATTCTTAATCCTTAAGGCAAGTGAGGGAGAATATGCTTTCTCATGGCTAGGCCAACCACGATCTAAATCTGGCAGCTGTGATACATCTGGAATGGCAGTGACTGTGTATGCTTTTCTGCTAATCTTTTCTCTTCCCTAGTTACAGAGTGAAAAGACCAGATCATTTAGGATGCTGATAGTTATATCTTAGCTCTTGAGCCACATGTGGCTCTTTTACAAACAAACTGGGATTCTCTACATTTCTAGGGGATGATATGTGATTCTCCAAGGACACAGGGAGTCTTCTGGCTGTTTCGTCCTTCACAAATATTGGTCTAGAGATACAGAAATATGAATAGCACTGATTTATTTTTCTCACAGCAAGAAGACAAGGACATATGCTAAAGAACCCAATCTAGTAGCAAAACATGGTTTATCAAAGACCCAGAATTTTCTGCCTAATCTTGGATTGATTTTCCCTGGAAGAAATGATGACACAGGGGCAGGTAGGTGGCACAGTGAATAGAGCTCTGGCCTTGAAGTCAGGAGGACCTGAGTTCAAATCTAGCTTCAGACACATAACACTTACTAGCTGTGTGACCCTGGGCAAGTCACTTAACCCCGACTGCCTCAGCAAAAAAAAGGGGAAAAAAAAGGAAAAAAAAAAGAAATGATGATAGAAAAACAGAAGAATATACGTACCTTAATGCACTGTATCCTTGACATACACTGACACAGCAAAGTACTCTTTCTTGATTTGCCTGGGTTTCACCCAGGTATTTACACACGATGTTTCCACCCAGACTAAAGCCCACTACAACCAGTTGGGTCTGGGGATAAGTCTTCTTGATGTAGCTCACCATGGCTCCAAATTCCCAGGTACAGCCTAAAAGTAGAGACCAGTCCACAAATCAGTTATGATAGAATGGATATGCAAAACACACTTTTGTTGGAAGTTTTCCAGTGAGGGGGAACCCACTACCTCCTAAAATAACCTATTTCACCTCTGGATAGCTCTAGTTCTTAGGACGTTTTTTTCTCACATTAAGCCTTTATGAGCCCTTTTAGAACCTCTATCCATGGCTGCCAGTTCTGCCATCTGGGACTAAACAGAACAAATCAAATCCTTCTTCCATCCTGGTTGCTCTTCTCTGGATATGCTCCAACTTAACAATATTCGTCCTAAAATGTGGCAGCAAACACTGAACACAAAACTACAGATGTAGGCTGCTCAAGGCAGAGTACAAAGGGAAGATCATTTCCCTGGTCTTGAACCACCTGCTCCTCTTAATTTAGACCGCAGGGGGCATTCATGGCTACTGTGTAACACTATTGACTCATACTGAGCTTGTAGTCCACTCAATCCTCCAGATCTTTTTCAGGCAAACTGCTATTGAGACATGCTTCCCTGTCTCGTACTTGTGATTTTTATTTTTTGAACCACTGATATCCCTGTTAAACACAACTTTGTTCTTTCACATTACAGCCTTGAGAGCAACTCAACAGAAGGTAAGATATTGGAAAAATGATGCCCTATTTTTTTTTTGACAGAAATTCTTAGCTATTAAAGGACTACTTAGGCACTAGTGTCTCTAAGCTCACCTCTAGGTTGTGGATCAAACAAACACTAGTCTAACACTCTTTTTAAAGGTAAATTAAGGGAGATCTGCTCCATTTTCAATCACCAGAAAAGAATGTTCAGGTCACACATATAAACACATACAAAAGTGAGTACAAAATCTGTTGGGTTTTCATGGTGTTGAGAAAAGTATGAAGCTGACGCGCTATTTGCAGGGTCTACTTAGAGAGGATGGGAACAACAGAGGATCTTTAATCCAGAGGGAAGGCAGAGACGTTCTGTACACTTAGGATAAAATGTTCTCTGTCATATGGTGGTAACAAGCAGAGGGAAACAAACCAATTCATTAATCCAGAAGAGATGCTTCTGACAAAAAGCATGTTTGCACCCCATTCCTACCAAGAAAGATGACATCAGCTTGCATCCACATAGGTCATCAGCTAGATAATTTCTCAACAGCTTCTTTAACAAGAGGAAGTCAATTACTATACACCGAAGAAGAACTCTGAACCCCTCTAAGTCCCCAGGTTTGCCTCTGTGGGAATGCAGGTTAAAAAAAAAAAGCACAGGAAGACACTGGGATTAGGGGAGGAGGTAATGGAGAGAGATGCATAAGAAAGCATAAGAAAACTACTGATTTGTGGTGGAGGGCCAGACTTGTTGGTTGGCAAAAACTCAGGAATTTTAACCTAACTGAGCCAGCTAAGCAGCTCATATTACAAAAGAGAAGGCTGAAGGTAAGACCACCTTTTGTTTCTCTTAAATATATGCCTCCCTTTTGCAGCAAGAACTCAGCATCTGGCTACAGGACGCACGCTGAGCCTATTGGGTCAGGCCTTAAATAACTGATTTATCTGCTTTTTTGAATTTGAAACCTATGCTACAAGCTTCCCATCTGGGCAGCTGATTCTATCAGCACTAGAGTCAGATACTTAGAGTCAACCACATCTGGGTACACACTCACTCCTGAATACCAAAGCAAATATTTTTTGCCCAGAAAGGATCTTCAGGATAGCATGAGGTTATCGTCTCTGACCTTCAGATCTCTTTTGGGGAGGCATCCTCTTGATAAGCCCTCAAAAGAATGGTAAAATTACTTGATTTTACTCCTTCCACTGAGGCAGACCAAAAACCCCATGGTGCCATAGGAGTTGATTTTTGTGAGTTGCTATAGCTGAAAAAATGAAACACTTAGTGACAAACTTTCTGGTGATGAGCTTCCTCAAAAGTTAGCTAGGTTGACCTTTGGGCAATACCTGGAATTCCCTTTTCTCAACATTGCCCAGTACCCTCCCCATCTCTGCCTTACCTGTCCCTAGCAGTAGATGGATACAACAGCCTGGAGGGAGCTTAGGGTTATAGCTTTTAGGAGTTAGACTGGGAAGGACCTCACTAATCATCCAATTCATACCTCATTTTATCTTTATTTTATTTATTTATTTTGTGAGGCAACGGGGGTTAAGTGACTTGTTCAGGGTCACACAGCTAGTAAGTGTCAAGTGTCTGATCTGAGGCTGGATTTGAACTCAGGTCCTCCTGACTCCAGGGCTAGAGCTCTATCCACCGCGCCACCTAGTTGCCCCTTATGCCTCATTTTAAAAATAAGGAAACTGTGGCTAAGAAAGTTAAATGATTTGTCAGGATCATACCATAGCAGAGCCAGGATTCTAAACCAGGTCTTCTTCTGTCTCCAAAACCAATGCTCTTTCCACTAAAGCACACTGCCACCCACACTGGTTTTGCTTTCTTCCAGAATAGCTGAAGCATCTTCCCCCAAATCAACCTCTCTGTAGGGGAGTTATTAGCTTACAACAGCACTGCCTATATCAGGGAATACAATTTTCTGACTGCACCCACCTTTTTATCAGGTGTGTCTCTTTCCATTCCACCAAATATCCAACAAATCATCATCTATTTATTCATCTTCTAGTAATCTTGAGGTTTCAACTATAGGGTAGAGTGATCTAGAAAGAACCATAGTGACTAGAGGGTTGCTTTAGAAATCAGGAAGACCTGCCTGGGGAGTTTAAGTCCTATGTTTGACTCCAAATAGCTGTTTGACCATAAGCAAGGTACTCAGTATTCCAGGCAACTGTCTCTGGCTTTCCGTTACATACAAAGTTGTAGATCTGCACCCAGTGAGGAAATTTACACCATAGTTTGCTAGAGCAGTGTAGTCATAAGACCCAGCTGAAAAGAAAACAAACCCCAACTAAAATGAAGTTCAGATCTGAGTGCTGCTCTTTAGGTTTCTGTTTCCTCCTCCGTAAAGTGAGGGGGTTGGACTAGATGACCCTTGAAGTCCTTTCCATTTTTAGATATTACATCCTAATGTCATTAAAACTAGAGACTAATTAATTATGATCTAAGACAAGTATGGAGATGTCACTAAGGTTGCTACAAAATTGATTTGCTACGGTACCAAGGAATAGTTACAGTGAAGCTAATTATACAGGTACTTTGGGATTGACAATTGAATTAAATTGAAACACATCTCATCTGAGAAATGGACCAGTTCAGTTTGTCTCCTGGCACACTGTCAGAGCTGCTTTCCAAAAACCTAATGTCTCCTAGGTACTGGGAAAACAGTCATACAATGGACCTTACACAGTTCCAACTCAGAGTCTTTCTCATGTGGGTAGATATTTCTTCCCAGGTTCACAAGCTGTTGTAAGTTAATGGGATGCTACAGGTTTCAGTGACTTGGAGGAGCTCATACCTCAAACAAGTGGGACCTATTTCCTTGGATTATTCCACTGCAAGTAATACAAATGTCAAAGAGACTCTAATCTACTTTCCAGCATGAGAGAAATTCTTAATGAGATTCTACATATTTAATCCTTATGGGACTAGCATTGGTGGCACTGCTCAGATATCTAATCTAATGCTACGGTAATAGAAATGAAATATAGGGCACTGACTATAGCCTTGCACAAAGAGCTGATTATTACCACTCAACACTTGAGGGCCAACAATGCTCAGAACAGAAAGATGAATGATTCATAGCTAATGTCCCACCTACTGGGACATTAAAAAAAAAAAGGCCCTCCAGGCAAAATCTGCTTGTGATCCACTTCATTTTAGAAGAGTTTTCCCAAATGGGGCCAACAGGACTGAGAAGTTCAACATCCAGGATAGTGAAATAAGAACATAGATTAAATTATATGGGTAAAAACAGAAATGGCATGATAAAACAGGAAAAGCAGGTCCAGGTTCTGATGCTTACTGGTTGTGATCCTTGTTAAGTTAGATTCTTTGACTCTCAATTTCCTCATCTGCGAAATGGGGATAATAATACTTGTAATACTCATACCCAGTTTAGTGGACAGTGTGCTGGGCCTGGAGTCAAGAAGACCTGAGTTCAAATGTGGCCTCAGACACTTACTAATTGTGTGACTCTGGGCAAGTCACTTAACTTCTGTTTGCCTTAATTCACTGGAGAAGGAAATGGCAAAACTGCTCCAGAAACTTTGCCAAGAAAACCCCATGGGCAGTACTGGCACGCTATATGATCAATGGGTCATGAAGAGTCAGACACTACTATTTATACCTCTCAGGGTGGTTATGAGTGGGGTGGTCTGTAAATCTAGAAGTGCTATGTAAAAGTGAGTTCTGATGTACAAGGATATATATCTCCACAGTCAAGTGGTTATACTGTTGGTGTTGGGAAGCAGCATAAGACAACAGAAAGAATGATGGATGTGGAGTTAGAAGACATGGGTTCAAATCCTAGCTCTGTCAATTGCTAGCTGCAAGATCTTGACAAGATCACTTAACCTCCTGGGACTCAATTTCTTCATCTGTAAAATGAGTTGGGGCTCTGTAGTCCCTTTTAGCTCTCATGATCTATGATCCTAGGTGTATGTATATATGTATATATGTATGTATGTATGTATATACATGTATATACAGGAGCACTTAATACATGTTTATTGAATGAATAAATGTGTTATAGGCATGTGCTTACATACTTAAGCATATACCCATGTATATATATGTAAACATATATACACACATATATGTATATGGAAGCCAAAGAGTTTTTATGAGAGACGGGAAGAGAAGATAAATATACTTCCCTGTCAAGTTGAAGATCTGGAAAATTAAGATGTTGAAAATAACAACATGGATTCATTCAGGTGGGTGGAAGCTCTGGAAGCCTTTTGTCATTCCCAGAGTAAAAATACATGAGTCACTATTAGGTCATGTCTACTAGCTATAGGGGAGTTGCCATAAGACTGAATAATTCAGTTAGAAAATAGCTATAGAAACAAAAAAAATCCCAGACTCAAAGTATAATTATTGTC